AAAAAAAGAAAAGATGCTTGGTACTATTTCAATCTTCTTAAATTTATTGAGACTTGTTTTGTGGCCTAATATGTGATCCATCCTGGAGAATGTTCCATGTGCATTTGAAAAGAATGTGTGTTCTGTGGTTTTTGGATGGAGTGTTCTGTACATATCTACTAAGTCCCTCTTGTCTAATGTGTCCTTTAAGGCCAATGTTTGCTTACTGGTCTTCCATTTGGATGATCCATCCATTGATGTAAGTGGAGTGTTAAAATACCCTACTATTATTGTGACCCTGTCTATTTTTCCTTTTATGTCTGTTAAGAACTGCCTTATATATTTAGGTGCTCCTATGCTGGATGCATAGATATTTACAAGTGTTATATCCTCTTGTTGGATTGTTCCCTTTATCATTATGTAGTGCCCTTCTTTGTCTCTTGTTACAGTTTTTGTCATAAAGTCTATTTTGTCTGATATAAGTATTGCTACACCAGCTTATTTTTCATTGCCATTTGCATGGTGTATCTTTTTCCATCCCTTCACTTTCAGTTTGTGAATGTCTTTAGGTTTAAAGTGTGTCTCTTGTATGCAGCATATATATGGGTCTTGTTTTTTTTATCCAATCGGCCACCTATGCCTTTTGATTGGAGCATTTAGTCCATCGACATTGAAAGTAGCTATTGATAAGAATGTAGTTATTGCCATTTTGTTAATTTTTTTCTGAGTGTTTTAGTAGTTCTTCTCTGTTTCTTTCTTCTTCTCTTGCTCTCTTCCCTTGTGGTTTGATGGTTTTCTTTAGTATTATGTTTGGGTTCCTTTCTCTTAATTTTTTGTGTATTTATTACAGGTTTTTGGCTTGTGATTACCATGGGTTCATATATAATAACCTATGTATGTAGTAATCTATATTCACTTGATGTTTTCTTAATTTGACCTCTTGCTGTACTCTTTTGCTCCCCTCCTCCCACATTTTATGTTTTTGATATCATATCTAACCTCTTTTTTTGTGTGTGTCCATTATTCTCTTATCATGGAAATAGGTAATTTTAGTACTTTCGTCTTTTGACATTCATATTAGCTTCATAGGTGGTTGATCTGCTGCCTTTATTCTATATTTGCCTTTACCAGTGATTTTATTGCTTTTTTTTTTTGATAATTTTATTTTTCCTATTTGTAGTCTTCTCTTTTCCACTTAAATAAGTCCCTTTAGAATTTCTTGTAAGGCTGGTTTCTTCATGATAAACTCCTTAGTTTTTGCTTGTCTGGGAACCTCTTTATCTCTCCTTCCAGCTGAATGATAACCTTGCCAGGTAGAGTATTCTTGGCTGAAGGTTTTTTCCTTTCAGTACTTTAAATGTATGGTGCCACTCCTTTCTAGCCTGTAAGGTTTCTGCTGAGAAGTCAGATAATAGCCTTATGGGGTTTCCATTGTATGTAACTTGTTTCCTTTCTCTTGTGGCTCTCTTCATCTTTAACTGTTGACATTTTGATTATGATGTGTCTTGGTGTGGGCCTCTTTGGGTTTATCTTGTTTGGTGCTCTCTGTGCTTCCTGTACCTCGATGTCTGTTTCCTTCCTTAGGCTGGGAAAGTTTTCAGCTATTTTTTCTTCAAATAGATTCTTTGCTCCTTTGTCTCACTCTTCTCCTTCTGGGACACCTATAACACGGATGTTAATGTGCTCCGTGTTGTCCCAGAGGGCCCTTAGACTGTTCTCATTCTTTTTAATTCTTTTTTCTTTTATCTGTTCAGCTTGGGTGATTTCCTCTAGTCTTTTGTCCAGCTCACTGATGCATTCTTCTGTATCTTCTACTCTGCTACTGAGTCCCTCTAGTGAATTTTTCATTTCCGTTATTGTATTCTTCATTTCTGATTGGTTCTTTTTTATATTTTCCAATTCTTTGTTGAAGTTCTCGCTGAGTTCATCCATTCTTCTCCCAAGATCGGTGAGCATCCTTATGATTCTTTGTTTGAACGCTCTGTCGGGTAGATAGTTTATTTCTGTTTCATTTAGTTCTTTTTCTGGGGTTTTGTTCTGTTCCCTTGCTTGGAATGTATTCCTTTGTCTCCTCATTTTGCCTCTTTCTCTGTGCTTATATCTATGTTTTAGTTAGATCAGCTACATCTCCTGGTCTTGGAGAGGTGGCCTTGTGTAAGAAATGCCTTGTGAGGTCTGGCAGTGTGCTTCCCTCTCATCACCAGTTCCAAATGTTCCCGGAGTGTCCCCTGAGTGTGCTACTTGTGTCTTTCTGTTGTGGCAGTGTTGCTTATGCTGCAGGTGCCTGGGAAGGCTAGGCTGTCCCCCTGGCTGGCTGGTTATAATGCTCAGCTGCACGTGGCTGCTCTGGTCCTTTCAGTCATTTTATTGGGCGTGGGGAGCCCTAGCACAATTGGCTGCAAGGTCTAATAGCACATTCCCATTGCAGTTTTTCTGTTAAGTGAGTAGGCCCCCAGCGTGGCTGGTTGCTAGGCTCAGGGGCTTACAATTGCTGTAGGCCTCCATCCTGCAAGGCTGTTGTCAGCTCTCTCAGGGTTGCAGGTGAGCAGGGCCAGCCCCAGGCACGGGAGCACCCAATTGTTTCAGGCTTTGGAAGGTGAGGCTGATCCCTGTGTGGCTGTTAGAGAAGCACATGTCTGCAGCAGCTGACAAGCCCCACTGCCCACAGGGCCACACACCTCATCAACACAGTCCTGCCCTGTGTGTGTACCATGACCCACTGAAGTGGACACAGTCGCCCCACTGCAAAGGCCACCCACACAAGGAGTGCATTTTTTTTTTTTTTTAAGATTTTATTTATTTATTTTTTCCCCCCAAAGCCCCAGTAGATAGTTGTGTGTCATAGCTGCACATCCTTCTAGTTGCTGCATGTGGGACGCGGCCTCAGCATGGCCGGAGAAGCAGCGCGTCGGCGCGAGCCCGGGATCCGAACCCGGGTCGCCAGCAGTGGAGCGCGCTCACTTAACCACCAAGCCACGGGGCCGGCCCAAGGAGTGCATTTTTAAGTTATGTTTTATTTCAGATATACATACACACATAAATGTATACCTACCTACACACATACATACTGACATAGTGGTTAAAAGCACTCTGTGTTCCTCCACTTGCAAGCTATATGATCAAGGAGAAATTCTCTTTTTAAAAAACCCAACAAGATATGGGTTCATTTACATGAATAAAATCTGGAGGTAGACAGTCTAGAGTGGGTATAATCATCAAGAATCCAAATTCGTTATATTGTTAACAAGGCTTCTACCTCATGGTCCAGGATGGATGCTTGAACTCCTGTCATTATGTCCACAATCCAGGCAGCATGAAGAAGAAAGGAAGTTGTAACTGGGGTTGATATTTAGCTGGTACACGTCAGTAGAGCTGGACCAGTAGTTCAATTATTGAAATACTTCTGTACCAGCTGGTAAATAGCTGCTGGCCCCCTGATGCCCAGATGTTACTCATTTCTTTAAGTCTCAGTTTCCTCCTCTACAGGATGAAGGTAAATAGTTGTATGTATCTCATAATTTATTGTGAAAATTAAATGAGATAATATACATATATTCTTATCACAGTGGCCAGCACAGAATTGAGGCTCAATAAATTGAAGTCCTTATTATTATTAGCTATGTTTTATAAACAATAAATGATAAGAAGAAAAATATGGCGTCATAACCGAAGACAGTATTCAAGGGCGATCTAATGCAGAGAACAGTAGCATTGGTACAGTGTTTTTACTCATGCAGGAGCAATAATAACTCACCTAAGAAGGGGTAATTGTAATAATTTTCCCATCTACCAGTCACTTCCTGCCCATGACTTTCTGGATATGGCTTTCGACTCAGTGTTTCTGGAATCTTTACTGATTAAACACGTTGTCACTATTCAGCAGTCTGGGGGCATTTGTAGCTCACAGAGTCGTTACTTACTATGTCACTTCAACCCCACAGCAGGTCTTGTTCTCTGTCTGATGACCTGACCCTTCAGACTGCCCTGCAGCAGGACCTCGAGACGGCAGGAGACTCCTCAGCCCCCAACTCAGCCTATCAGAGAGTCTGGGAGATGTTTGCCAACCAGTCCAGGGCAGAAAGGGATGCCTTCCTGCAGGATGTCTTTCCTGAAGGCTTCCTCTGGGGCGTCTCCACGGGAGCCTTTAACGTGGAAGGAGGTTGGGCTGAGGATGGAAGAGGGGCAAGCATCTGGGACCAACTAGGGCACCAGAATGCCACCAAGGGCCAAGCAACACCGGAGGTAGCCAGTGACAGTTACCACAAGGTGGACACTGATGTCGCCCTGCTTCGTGGCCTCCAGGCTCAGGTCTACAAGTTCTCCATCTCCTGGTCCCGTATCTTCCCCACTGGGCACGGGAGCAGCCCCAACCTCCGGGGTGTCGCCTACTACAACAAGCTGATTGACAGCCTGCTGGACTCACACATCGAGCCCATGGTCACGCTGTTCCACTGGGACCTGCCTCAGGCCCTGCAGGATCTTGCCGGGTGGCAGAATGAGACTGTGGTGGATGCCTTCCTGGACTATGCAGCCTTCTGCTTCTCCACTTTTGGGGACCGTGTGAAGTTGTGGGTGACCTTCCACGAGCCGTGGGTGATGAGCTACGCAGGCTACGGCACTGGCCAACACGCGCCGGGCATCTCCGACCCAGGGGTGGCCTCATTTAAGGTATTTCCCATCTTGCAGCTCTTACTCTTTGGAGGAGAAAGGACATTTGCCTAGAAGAAACTTATTTTATCTTCCCATCAGCAAGTCTTTACTTTTTGTCCTTTAGAGGAAATCAAAGGGAGGGAAGGAACCATAAATTGTTAATCAACTTATTTTGTCCAGACACTGTGCTGGCACTTTAACAATAGTTATTAATCCTCAGAACAGTGCTGATGGATGGGGGAATTGGGGCTCAGAGAGGAGAAACAATTTGGTCATGACGAACTTGCAGCTGGGTTAGCAGTTTGAAGCCAGCATTTGATCCTAAGTCTACTTGACTCCAAAGCAGGTTTTCCATGTCAACCAGCACTCTTAGTTGCAGACAGAAAACCCAACCCAAATTGACTTAGGTAAGGAGGGGAATTATGAGTTCAGGAAACTGAAAAGTCTTGGTTTTAGCCGATCAGGGTAGAGCTTGATCAGAACACAAACGATGTCACCAGGACCCAATTTCTCTTCTTCCTCTTGCTCCCCTTGTTGGCTTTGTTCTTGGGCTAAATGGTAGCTAGATGACAACAGCCCTGTGTCTCACGGTCTCTGGGTGGGTGGCATGCCTATCCCTGAACCAATCACTGGATCCAGGATAGAGGACTGTAGTGCACTGATTGGTTTGGGTCCAGGTCCCAGCTCTACCCCTCGACACACTGGCTGAGAGACGGGGAGGTGGGGCGGGAGAAAGAGTCTGGCTTTCCAGAAGGCAATCAGGGTATTTCTTCAACGAGAAGGAGATGTATGTACTGGAGACAAAATTTTAAATGGCTTAGTGTGGCTTCTTTCCATCATTTTCCTTTTTCTTCAAAATTTCCCAGAAAACCCACCAGCTTCCCCTGGCAACATTCTTCAGGATAGCCACGTTAGTATGACTTTCCCTGCCACACTTTGGATTCTGTTCTGAAATATGAGTCTTTAGTGTGCCCCATGCTGGGTGTTAAGTAGGATGCTTGGCCATGCCCTCAAGATGTTAAAAGCTTTTGGGGAAGATGATACTAACGCACAAAGGAAAATTAGAGATTAATTCATAATGTCCACAATCAGAGTGAGCTTGAATACTGTGAATAAATGATGCAGTGAAATCCCCAAAATTATGGCACTTAAGTCAAGGCTTCCATTCTGCTCCTGTTCAGCAAGTGACCACACCCACAGAGAGAGCACTTCTGAAAATGGAAGGTTTGAATCTTTCTGTTTGTCTCGTTGTAAAACTCATCTCAACATTTTCTCCTTAGGCTTCTTATCTCTACAGCTGTGGCTACTGAGATTTTTCTACAGAGACTTTGATAAGAAAGTCCACCTCACTTTTTTCCTTCAATTCTTGCTTTTACTTATTAATTTAAACATTATAATACAATTAAGGAAAAATTTCAAAGAAAAGGTTTCTTTCATAATTCTACCGGTATTTCCTTCCAGTCTTGGCTTCCCTGCATTCATAGTGTAGTCACAGTGTGCACTCAGTTTAGTGCCTTTTTTTTTAGTAGACTTTATTTTTCAGAACAGTGTTAGGTTCACACAAAATTGACTGGAAGGTACAGGATTTCCCATATATCCCCTGCCCCCCACCCCCACAGCCATCCTATTATCAACATCTGCCACCATCGTGGTACATTTGTTACAATAGATGAACCTACAGTGACACGTCATTATCACACTAGTGCCCATTTTTTACTTGATGTGTCATTAACACTTTTCCGTGTCGTTACATGGTCACAATGATTGTTTCTGATAGTTATCTAATATTCCATTGAGCGCCCTGCCTGACACTGACTAGTTTAGAAGGGAAGCATTCCTGCCTTTTGGAAAGGAGCACTGTTTTCTATTGGAATTTAGGACCCAGTTAAGGACTAACATTTGGGACATAAGAAGCAGCCAGGAGTTTGACTTCCTAGGGCATATTTTGGTATGAAATTCTTCAAAAGTAGGTATCATCATCTTCAGATGATAAAAAGGAAAGGGAGCTAAGGTGTAGCAAACTCCCTCCTGCACTCCGGGTTTCCACTTGGTGCTTATGCACCCTATCCCTGGATGGATCCATCAGCAACCACTTCTTGCAGACAAGGAAGCTGAAGTTGAGAAAGGAGGTTGTTTGAGTTTACTGAGCAAGTTAGTGACAGAGTCAAGATTGAAATCTAGGCTTATTATACTTCAGACACCCTGCTTTTTCCCCTGTTTTCCCATGGTGCTCCACCAAGGAAAGCTATTGATTTTTGTAAGATCATGAGTTAAGTCTACAAAGAGATTCCTGGTTGTGGTCTTTCTTCCTAGATTTCAGTAAGTAGAAAGGAGAACAGAAAGACTTGTCCTCTCGTTTGTGTGTTAGCTAAAATGATCCCCCCCCACCAGAATTATTTGTTGATTAATTAGTCAATAAGTACTTATTGAGGACCGAGGCAGGATAGCATTGTGGGTGACGGTACAGTCCAGGAGTCAGACTGCCTGCATTCTACACCTCTCTGGATCTTCTTTTCCTCATCTGTGTAGAGATAATAATAAGGATTCTTGCCACATAAAGTTGTGAGGACTACATGAGAGAATTCATCAATAATTGTCTTTGTTGATGCTGTTGCTATTGACCTGTTGATGGTGATGTTGACTTGTTGACGTTGTTGTCCACATTGTTGATATTGCTGGCACTGATGTTGTTGTTGTTGATGTCAACATTGTCCATGTTGTTGACTTGTTGATATTGTTAGCATCAGTCTTAACTTCTTGTTGATGTTGTTGACTTCTTGATGTTTTCATTGATATTGTTGCCATTGTTAATTTGTTGATGACATTGTTAACATTAGTGTTGAGCTTATTAATGTTGACATTTTCATCATTGCTGTTGCTGACATTATTGACATTGGCGTTAACTTGTTGACATTGTTGTTGTTGACTTGTTATTGGCTTGTTGGTGCTGTTGTTGACGTTGCTGTTATTGTTACTAAGCACTGTATTTCCTTCTTTCTTCCTCACCAGGTGGCTCACTTGGTCCTCAAGGCTCATGCCAGAGCTTGGCACCACTACAATAACCACCATCGCCCACAGCAGCAGGGACGCGTGGGCATTGTGCTGAACTCAGACTGGGCAGAACCCCTGTCTCCAGAGAGTCCCGAGGACCTGAGCGCCTCTGAGCGCTTCTTGCATTTCATGCTGGGCTGGTTTGCACACCCCATCTTTGTGGATGGAGACTATCCAGCTGCCCTGAGGGCTCAGATTCAACAGATGAACGAACAGTGCCCCAGTCCTGTGGCTCAGCTCCCTGAGTTCACTGAGGCAGAGAAGCAGCTCCTGAAAGGCTCAGCTGATTTTCTGGGTCTGTCCCATTACACTTCCCGTCTCATCAGCAAGGCCCAACAAGATACCTGCATCCCCAGCTATGATACCATCGGAGGCTTCTCACAACATGTGGACCCTGCATGGCCTCAGACCTCATCTCCTTGGATTCGAGTGGTACCCTGGGGTTTAAGGAGGCTGTTGCAGTTTGTATCCTTGGAATACACAGGAGGAAAAGTTCCGATCTACCTGGCTGGGAATGGCATGCCCATAGGGGAAAGTGAAGACCTCTTTGATGATTCCTTCAGAGTAGACTACTTTAATCAATATATTAATGAGGTGCTCAAGGGTAAGAATGGTGGATATGCTGGTGATTGGAAGGTGGGTGGTACTTCTCCAAGTCTTCAGAGTTTTGTTTAAGAGGACAAAGACAATCTCCCAAGGAAATGAAGCCAAAAAGTACTGTTAGTAGCAATAACATGAGTCTTTCACATCAGCCTCCTAATTCTCTCCCCGAAAAGCCTCAAGTCCTTGCCCCTGTGTTCTTATTCCATAGAATGCCTCCCTTCTACATTTTTCCCATCTGAATCCTATCTGTTGATCAAGACTCATCAACTTTTAATGCATTCATTTAACAAATATTTGAGTGCCTGTTATGTGCCACACGTTGTACAAGACAGTAGGAGTACAATATTGAACAAACATCACCTTTTCCCATAGGGTACTCATGGTCTACAGAGGGACACAGACAGAAAATTGCAATATGGGATAGTAATGGCGTTACAGGATGGCATGAGGACACTTAAGATGGGATTCTAACCCATTAAATCTTCCCTCATTGCTCCAGCCACATTGATCTCCATCTCCTTTAACTGGCTATAAAATCTGTATTCCATGTCATTCACTTTGATCCAATTGACCCATATCTACAGTCTTATTCTTACCTACCATATCTTTTCGTATGTCCTTTTATTCTAAGTAAAAAGGAGTGACAAAGTTACATCTCGTATATCAGTCGTAATCAATTGCTGGTGGCTAGTTGTTCGCCTAGAGGACCATGTTGAAAAGATTTCAAGACCTTATCTAGATTCAGAGAGACAGAGTTGATTAGTGACACCTGCCCTGGCCACTATAGTAAGGAATGGAGACACACATCCCGCTGTTCTTGAGGTTAGAGACTCTCTCTTTTACTTTCGCTTGTACTCTTCTCTGCATCAAGGTTACAATTCTGTAATCTTCATAATCATGGAAGCCCTTTAAGACATTATCTCAAGCAATCCTTGAAACAGCCTCAGGCAGTAAATAAGGGCAGATATTATCCTCATGAGACTAACATGAAAACTGAAGCTCTGAGAGATTAAATGAAGTGCCCAAACAGCCAGTGAGTGGGACCCTAGGCCTTTCTATTTCTGGCTCACCTCTTCACTCTACCCCCTAACCTATGAGGCTTTTATTCATCTTTGTTTCCCAGAGCCTAGCATAGCCTGGGACAAAGTAGGTGCTTACCGAATTATTTATAGAATGAATGAGCAACTTTACCTACCTCTTCTACAATCAATGTTTATTGATAGGCTGTGTAATCTGATAAAAACAGGGCTTAATATTTTGCCGGCTCCCAGCAGGAGCCCACAGCCGTTCATTGCCTTACTTTGGCTCTGGTCCTTGGTTGACTCACTAGACTGTTTTTTATTCTCTCACAGTTCTGGAGGCCAGTAGTCTGAAATCGAGGTGTCAGTAGGGCCTCTCTCCAAAGGTTCCAGGGGAGAATCCTTTCTCTTTCACCTTCTGGTGGTGCCAAGCATTCCTTGGTTTATGGCTGTATCACTCCAATCTCCGCCTCATGTGGACTTCTCCTCTAAGTCTCTTTTAAGGAGGCTTATCATTGGATTTAGGGGCCACCCAGTTAATCCAGGATGATATCATCTTGAACTCCTTAGCTTCATTACATCTGCAAAGACTCTTTTCCAAATAATGTTACGTTCACTGGTGGGGGGCGTGGTTAGGACTTGGACGTATCTTTCTGGGGACCACCATTCAACCCACTGCACCAAGGAATACATTTGTTTAGGCTTTATTCCTCTTTTTTTAACATGGAATGTGTGATCATTTTACGTCAGTATTGCTAAATGTAAACAAGGGAAAACAAAAGCACATTTTTAAAGATTAAATGATTTTGTGTGTTCTTTATAAAACCAAGGAGTCCTGATACTAGCAGATGGGGCACATTCTTTCAAGACTGGGATGGTCCTTTAGATTGAGATTTATGGCCATGTATATGACCTGATGTTTTGCGGAGGTCTTGTGGATTTTCCTTTCAACCATTCTGAGGAGGAACAAGGGTTAACTTTTTTTGCATAGCCCAAGTCACCTCCAAAATGTTTATGTCAAAAAAAAACTTTTAAAAAGCAACATCAATAACAGAGACTTTAAAATAATCTCAACTTTTGTTTTTCTCCACAGCTGTCAAGGAGGACTCGGTGGATGTTCAATCTTACATTGCTCGTTCCCTCATGGATGGCTTCGAAGGCCCCTCTGGCTATAGCCAGAGGTTTGGGCTGCACCACGTCAACTTCAATGACAGCAGCAAGCCCAGGACTCCCAGGAAATCTGCCTACTTTTTCACCAGCATCATTGAAAAGAATGGTTTCCTCACCAAGGTAGTAAAAACACTGCCACCACCCAGTATAACAAACATTGCCCCTAGAATCAGAGCCTTCACTTTTCCATCCGAGGTGCCCTCCAAAGCTAAAGTAGTTTGGGAAAAGTTCTCCAACCAACCCAAGTTTGAAAGGGATTTGTTCTACACTGGCACATTCCGAGATGACTTTCTGTGGGGCGTGTCTTCATCAGCCTATCAGATTGAAGGAGCTTGGGATGCTGACGGCAAAGGCCCCAGCATTTGGGATAACTTTACCCACACACCAGGGAACAATGTGAAAGACAATGCTACCGGAGACATAGCCTGTGACAGCTATAACCAATTGGATGCTGATCTGAATATGCTTCGAGCTTTGAAAGTGAAGGCCTATCGCTTCTCTATCTCCTGGTCTCGAATTTTCCCAACTGGGAGAAACAGTTCTATCAACACACCTGGTGTTGATTATTACAACAGGCTGATCGATGGCTTGATAGCAAGCAATATCTCTCCTATGGTGACACTGTTCCACTGGGACCTGCCCCAGGCCCTCCAGGATATTGGAGGCTGGGAGAATCCTTCCTTGATTGAGTTGTTTAACAGCTATGCAGACTTTTGTTTCCAGACCTTTGGTGATAGAGTCAAGTTCTGGATGACCTTTAATGAGCCCATGGAACAGGCGTGGTTGGGTTATGGCACAGGGGAATTTCCCCCAAATGTGAATGACCCAGGCTGGGCACCTTACAGGATTGCCCATGCAGTCATCAAAGCTCATGCCACAGTCTATCACACTTATGATGAGAAATACAGGCAAGAGCAGAACGGGGTCATCTCTTTGAGCCTCAGTGCACATTGGGCAGAGCCCAAGTCACCAGAGCTCCCGAGAGATGTGGAAGCAGCTGACCGAATGCTGCAGTTCTCACTGGGCTGGTTCGCCCACCCCATTTTCCGAAATGGAGATTATCCTGATGCCATGAAGTGGAAAGTGGGGAACAGGAGTGAACTACAACACTTAGCCACCTCCCGCCTGCCAAGCTTCACTGAGGAAGAGAAGAGGTACATCATGGCTACAGCCGATGTGTTCTGCCTCAACACCTACTACTCCAAAATCGTGCAGCATACAACACCCAGTTTAAACCCACCCTCCTACGAATATGACCAGGAGATGACCGAGGAAGAGGATCCTTCATGGCCTTCCACAGCAATGAACGGAGCTGTGCCCTGGGGGCTGCGAAGACTGCTCAACTGGATCAAGGAAGAGTATGGTGACATCCCCATTTACATCACTGAAAATGGAGTGGGGCTGACAAATGCAGAAGTGGAAGATACTGATAGGATATTTTACCACAAAACCTACATCAATGAAGCTTTGAAAGGTATGTGAGGGTTCATGTACCCCTTACGAAATCTTCCAACACCCATTTGGCATGTGCTGGAAATGGTTTAGAGTAGACAATGAACCATCAATGAGTCTCTCATGCCCTAACTCCATAATTCTTTCCTTTTCTGGGGTTTCATATCCCTTTGGGAACCCGAAAAAAGCTATGGTTATTTCTTCGAACATACACACACGGAGTCCCCACAAGCATATTTTCATGGACCCATTCATTCATTATTGAGCAACTACTATGTGATAAGTTCTGTTCTAAGTGCTGGGGATACAGCAGTGAACAAAATAGATAACCTTCTGCTGACGTGGAGCTTATGTTCTCGTGGGTTCCATGCACCCCAGAGCATGGAACTCTTCTCTAATTCACATTTCTATTTTAACTTCTAAAGTGGGCTGAGGCTCTTAAATTTGAGACATACCCCTTTATTCCAACAAAAAAAATTTGATTTTGTGAAGATCAGTCATTAACACTTGCTATAGGGGCATCAGTGTGGGCAAAAAGAAAGGCAAGGTGATCTGTCTGTCTATCTGGGCACGTATTACTTGTGTGTACAGGTTGATGGTTTAGGAGTACTGTCTTGAGTTGAGGAGCCAGCATTTAGCTGGGCTTCTTGAGGACCCTTACCTCCTGGTGTAAAGCTCTCCTCTGCTCCCCTTGGAACGTTCCCAGCCTACAAGCTTGATGATGTCGACCTTCGAGGGTATTCTGCATGGTCTCTGATGGACAACTTTGAGTGGCTGAATGGCTACACCATCAAGTTTGGACTGTACCATGTTGATTTCGATAATGTGAACAGGCCTCGCACAGCAAGAGCTTCAGCCAGGTACTACACAGAGGTCATTACCAACAACGGCATGCCGCTGGCCCAGGAAGATGAGTTTCTCTACGGACAGTTTCCCGAGGGCTTCATCTGGAGTGCAGCTACCGCTGCATATCAGGTGAGGAGTTCAGGGCAGCTCAACAACGTCTATTGCATGCCTGCTAGGCACCAGGCCCTGGACTCAGTGCTGGAGAGGGCAGGCACGTGAGCAGGGGATTTTCACAGACCTGTGGAAGGAAGTGGGAAGTGCAAGGCGCTGTGGAGGAAGTCTGGGAGGTCCCCTTCCCAGAGAGCCCTGCTTATTCACATCCTCAAATTCAGGCAGACCAGCACGGTTACAAGGGCTGTGCTGAGGTGGGTGTTTGCAGGCAAGATGGAGCGGGTGAAGCCTGGGCAGAAACACTTGGGCAAAGACAGGCAAATATGAAGATTTTCTGCTGGATCCCTTTATTTCTCACCTAGTCTCTTCCAAGCAGACAATTCACTGATAATGGCCATCACAGGGACCTGGGGTGTTTCAGATGTCCTAACAACATCATACTGTTACCTTATTCACGCCAAGTGAACTCACTAATATGGAAATATGAGGGTTTTGCTTTTTCCTGGAAAAATATAAGGTAAACAGCAAAGAGTGACTTGCCCAGGCAGTGAGTGGTGGGTCCCTGCTTTGCATCTTCTGCCTTCGCTTGTTTTCTCTGATACAGGAGTGGGGCTCTATGTGCTCAGTGTGGAACCTGGTCAGTGGTATGAGCTGACCTGACTCTGTGTAGACTGAGCCGTTGGGTTTTTTCTAGATGACCGTAGCTGCTGAAAATGTTTTTGAGGTAGGTGAGGGTTAGCTACTCCCAAAGGACCACACTACCAGGTTAAAATGAAATCTCAGACCAAATTCTGCCATATCCAGACATTTATTAACTAAACGCGCAAACACGAAAACCGTCCACGTTATCTTGTTCTGTGGACTGGAGGAAACCCAGTTCTTGGCCCTTTTAGGTGCTCTGGCCAACACCTCACATGAAAGATTCACTTGAGGAAATGCCGAGATTTCACAGACAGGATGCTGCTACTCTTATTTCAGGCAAACAGAATCCTCTGTAGCAGGGTTTCTCTAGCCTAGCCCAATTGACTTTGGGTGGATAATTCTTTGTTGTGGGTGCTGTCCTGTTCACTGTAGGATGCTTGGCACTTGCCCTGGCCTCTACCCACTAGATGCCAGTAGACTCCTCTGTCAGTTGTAACCATCAAAAATGTCTCCAGACATTGCTAAGGGACAAAATAGCCCCTGGGTGAGAACCACTGCTCCACGGCTTTACAGCTGGACACAGGAAGGGTCAGGGATTTATTCCAGGGCACAGGCTGCAGGCCTTGCTGGCTTCTTAAGCTCTGTCCATGCAAGGGCAGGGAATGTATTGAAAATGTTTTAGCCAATCCACATCTTGAATGATTAAATAGGCGTCAGTGAGCAACCATTTCTATTCATCATGGCAGTCAGCAGGCACAGTTCTCACCATTTGTGACACTGAATATTGTAATTAACAAAGTGTGGAGTATGAATCGAGAATGGATGAGAAGCGTTTATAGTGTGGGCTTCCCGATTAGATGTCATCTCACTGTGCATTCTTTTTTCTCTTTTTGTGAGGAAGATCAGCCCTGAGCTAACATCCATGCCAATCCTCCTCTTTTTGCTGAGGAAGACCGGCTCTGAGCTAACATCTATTGCCAGTCCTCCTCTTTTTTTTTTTTTTTCTCTTTTTCTCCCCAAGGCCCCAGTAGATAGTTGTATGTCATATTTGCACATCCTTCTAGTTGCTGTATGTGGGACGCGGCCTCAGCATGGCCGGAGAAGCGGTGCATTGGTGCGCGCCCGGGATCCAAACCCCAGCTGCCAGTAGCGGAGCGTGTGCACTTAACCGCTAAGCCACGGGGCCAATCCCATGTTCATTCTTTTTAAAACCATTTATTTGGAAATCTTTTCAAACATGGAGAAAGGTTGCAAAAATAGTACAGAGGACTCCCATATACGTTTTTCCCATATTTCTCAACTGTTAACATTTTATCATTTGCCTTATTTTTCTCTCTCTGTATGTGTGTATATACATACATATATATGCATACATATATATACACATACATATATACATATATAACATACATATATATACATAGATATAGATACATGTATATATGTATATATACATACATATATATAAAATATATGTCTATGAATCTGATTTCCTCACTTGAACAAGAAGGTATCTACCAGGTTTCTCTACCAAAAAATTAATAAGTATTTTGTAGTTATGAGTAATTAATAAGTATTTTGTGGGGAGCTACTTGGAGTCTACATAAATATTCTGTTCCTCATCAAATTTCACCCACTAGTTTCAGCAACTGTTGATAATTTTTGCTTAAATCAGTTATTACTATGATAGTTGAAAAAGGTGATTTTCTAATTATCATCCCTTTTATATTTATTATGTGGCATTCAACAGAAAGGCAGAGCTTTGTCTTTTTTCCTACTTATTTGTTTGTATTTTATTTATATATAAATATATATTGATATATATGATCAGTGTGGCATGTATGATCAGTATGGCCTCATGGAATACCAGTGCGTGATATTTTGCTATCATTATGCATTTAGATGCTCAAATCATCCCACATTTTCCCATGAGGAGTGCCTTTCAGCTGGATCCTGTGTCTTTTTGACATGGCCCATCATTCTTCGAGCACTTCCCTAATTCTTTCTGGCACAATGAGATGTTCCAGGTTCATCTCGTACCTTTTCTGTCCCAGACCTGTAATCAGCTATTTCTCTAATGATCCCTGGCTCCTTTTATTGGATATGGGTGTTTAGAAACCAAGATCTGGGTGCTAGGTGTGCTCACTGCTACTGGAGTGTCATTAGTTCTAGGCCCTGTCTGTGGACAGAGCTAGGAAAGACGTGTGTACACACACACACACGTGCACTTACATATAGTTCTACATCCACCTACATCTCTATGTATATTAAAAACCATGAGTTCACACTGATACCTCCAATTCCAGCCCAACTCCACAGGGTTAGTACTAGTCTTCCCATTTTCCATATTTGTGTCTCCTTTCTCCAATGGTGAGAAATCTAGCTCCTAATATCCTCCACAGTCACTTATTTTCTCAATCCCCGTGCATTAACTAATCTCCCAACCACCAAGGCCATCTCTTCCACCCCAACAGCCCACACAGGGTGCTTTCCTGCTGGCCCCGGGCTCCACCACTCTCATGGGGGCTGTGCAGGCCAAGCCTGGATATGTGTTTTTGGTTAAAATGCCAGCACCACCTTACCTGCACCCCTCACATAATATCACACCATATATGCTAAAATGTTTTAAAGTAAACTGCAGAAACTGTACCTGTCAGACTACCTAAGCCTGTAGGTAGGCATTTGCCCAGTGGCTTGTGGTCAGTTTCCCCATAGAATAGATGGGACGAGAAAAAGGGGGCACAGAAACAGTAGCACATGTCTTGATTAGAAATTCTCCCTTTGGGCCGGCCCTGTGGCTTGGTGGTTAAGTGTGCGCGCTGCGATGCTGGTGGCCCGGGTTCGGATCCCGGGTGCGCATTGAGGCACCACTTCTCCGTTCATCCTGAGGCCGAGTCCCACATACAGCAACTAGAAGGATGTGCAGCTACGACATACAACTACCCACTGGGGCTTTGGGGGGAAAAAATAAAATAAATAAAATCTTTAAGAAATTCTCCCTTCACACCTGGCATCATTGGGATTTATTTGGCCATGATTGGGGTTGGGACACGTGGAATTGTTCATTCAAACTTTTAGTGAGCACCCACCAAGATGAAAGTCACAATGCCTAGACCTCATAGTCTTGTGGGAAGCCATCAGCAAGTGCATAATTGTGTAATGCCTCATGACAGTGCCAGGATGTACAGAAAGTGTGTACAGAAAGCCATAGGAGTTCAGAAATTGGAGGGCGGCCAGAGAAGTCTCCTAAAGGAGATGATGCTTAATTACGTCCTGAGTTGGGACTCACCTGCTGACAGAAAGGAAATTATGAGGGCTTGACCACATGACTTAGTTAGACCATGTCTTGTCATCTTGAGATCGAAGGTGCGTGGAGAGAAGATGACAAAGGACTCAGTATTTGGGACACATTTTCTCACACACCACTGAAGATTGAGAACAATGACGTTGGAGACGTAACCAGTGACAGTTATCACAAGATTGCCGAGGATGTGGTGGCCCTGCAGACCCTGGCTGTGTCCCACTATCGCCTTTCCATCTCTTGGCCTCGCATTCTGCCTGATGGAACCACGAAGTATATCAATGAAGCGGGCCTGAACTACTACGTGCGGCTCATTGACGCTCTGCTGGCTGTCAACATCAAGCCCCAGGTGAGGTTGGGCCCCGACCAGGCCTTGGTCAAGTCCACATGGTGGAGGCAGCTGGGGCAGGGAGCACAGTTATGGTGTAAACAAAACACTATTTTCGAATTTAAATTTTGAATAAATTCACATGGTGCAGAATTCAAAAAGCATAAAAGATACTACAGTGAAGATTTTCTTTCCATCCCTGACCCCAAGCCATCCAGTTCCCCTCCTTCTGGGCAGCCAAGTTTGCTAGGTTCTCACGTCCTTCTTTTGTGTATGTAAGCCAGTGGATGTGTATGTGTGTGTCTGTGTGTGTGTATATTCCTTTTCCTCTCTTTTTTCATAATGGTAAGATATATGCAGTTTGGTATTTGCTTTTTTTTAACAATATTTCTTACACTTATTTCCATATCCATACATAGTTTCCTTGTTTGTTCTTTTCTTTTTAGTTATGTGGAAATCTGTTTGTACCTTCTCTAATTACTTCCCTGTTAATGGACACTCTTTCCTGTGGTGTTTCTACTCTTTTGCCATTCTGACCAACACTACAATGAGTAACCACAGACACCCATCATTTCACATGAGGGGAAGTGTATCTGTAGGATATGGTCCTAGGAGCAGAATTGCTGGGCAAAAGTGCATGTGTTTTTAAGCCGTGAGTTATTATGAATAAGAATACAGAACCTCACTTGTGGGCTTACTTCGCTGTTACCAAAATTTTTAAATTTTACTTGGGAGCCTAAGAACACTTTTCCTTTTCCCCTGGCCATTTATGATATTTATGATAAAGCGCTGGAGGGCACTCATTCTATGAAGCTCTGCATTTCCTCTGCTGTAGGGGTTGGCGATCATGCACCGCAGCCAGAGCACAATCCCCACATTACGACCCACCACTTCCCACCCCAAAAGCAGAGATTTTTCCAAATAAAAGTGCTATCTGGACTTCTCTCCTCACACTGATAACACTGCAGGAACAAATCAGCCAGGCAGCATTTATTACGGTGAGCACTAGGAGTGATGGGAGAGAAGATAGCCAAGTGGCTCCTTGCAGGACCTAGGATCTGGGTAGACAATGAGATTCATCACACACATCAGTTCAGAACAGCATCAGAGAGCACACAACTCTTTTGCAGCCCTTGAGGGCGTTGAGATACTGCAGAGAGAAGTGCTGTAGCCAGGGAAAGCTTCAGGGAGGTGTGAGTCTTGAATATAGAGGAGAATTTGGATGGGTGGGTGGGCAGGGGAAGGGCATTTCAGGCAAAGGGGGAGACTGGGTCTGGGCTGAAGACGGTTAGTGGCCCAGTGCAGACCGAGGACAGTGGAGACCCCAGCTTGGCCAAGATGGGTTGTGTCAGGGGCATTGAGGGGAAGACCAGGAGAGAGGAAGGCCACCACGTGGACGTGGCCAGAGGGGCCCCTCTCCAGCAAAGGGTTCCCAGCTCCACAAGAACCTCCAGACACATAAGATGATGATGTCCTTGGGGGTGTCCCTTTACAAGCAAAATGTCTCCATCCTCCTGGGACCCTCATAGCCTCAGACTGTCAGTGCAGTCTATCCAGGCAGGTTCTGAAGCACCAGCATCTCTGAACCCCGACTACAACCATAGCTAACACTTACTAAAGAGCTGCCAGGGTGTCAGCCACTTTTCATATCCTCTGCTATGTGATTTAGGCCTCACAATGATCCCAGGATGTGGAATTCTTAGTGCTTGAGTCCAGTGTCGCACCGCTGGTAGGTGGCAGGGCTGGGACTCAAACCCAGGCTTCTCTGATCCAGATGTGTGCATTTCTCATGCTTCAACACTGCTGCCCTCCCCTCCCACCAAAGAACCTTTGAGTCTTTTTTGTCTCATTGTTCATCCTCAGCTTTAGCAGCGGATGTGTGCTGGCACGTAGAGCATCGCCAATGGCTTCCCATGAAAAGCAGGTTGATGGAACTGCTGATCTTACTTTTTCACAGGTGACCCTTTACCACTGGGACCTGCCCCAGGCACTCCAGGATGTTGGAGGCTGGGAGAATGAGACCATTGTGGAGCACTTTAAAGAGTATGCAAATGTGCTCTTCCAGAGGCTGGGCGACAAGGTGAAGTTTTGGATCACGCTGAATGAGCCCTTTGTCGTTGTTACCCAGGGCTATAGCTACGGGACATCAGCTCCAGGTAAAGGTCCCAGACTCGAGTGGTCAGCTCTTTGGAGCATGGCATTCTTAGCACCACGAAGACATGAAATCCAGGTGGCACTGGAGGAGGAGGCCAAGAAAGCCCCAGGGCAGTGCCTCAGAATCCCTGCCTCTTGCTCGAGGCTGCCTGACAGGCGGCAGAGGTTTCCCCTTCTGACACCACTTTTGCTAAACACGAATTTCACGTCAGTGCCTCCAAATGGCTTCATTTTTTTTGCTCTGTGCCTCTGACCTGCCTCAGATGGGAAGCCCCCTGAGATCACGGGCATGGACTAATCAATGTAGGAAAGAACAGTTCATCAGACTGTACAGGTCCATAATCCATTTTCTGAGACTGCAAAATCCAAACATTTCCAATATTTGATTTGGCTGACCTGAGCTCCACCTGCCTTGAACCGATATGAGGCTGCTTACAGTCGTCACTCCGCCGGGTGTGAGCATTCATTCGTAAGTTCTGCTGCAGGCGTATTCGTGTCCTTCATCATGGAGAGCTGTCCGGGGCCCTGCTGGGCTGATATGTAAATACGTTCTGTGCAACTTATTACTTTTCTAAAACACAAAAATTTTTTTGTTCCAAAACACATTTGACCTTAAGGGTTGTTTCCCACAACCCCCCCAACCACCTTTTTTTTCGCTTTTTATAAATTTTTAAAAATTTTATTGCGGTCATAATAGTTTATAACATTGTGAAATTTCAGTTGTACATTATTATTTGTCAGTCACCATATATATGTGCCCCTTTATCCCTTATGCCCACCCCCCAACCCCTTTCCCTTCTGGTAACCACTAATCTGTTCTCATTGTCCATGTGTTTGTTTATCTTCCACAAATGAGTGAAATCACATAGTGTTTGTCTTTCTTTGTCTGGCTTATTTCACTTAACATAATACCCTCAAGGTCCATCCATGTTGTTGCAAATGGGACAATTTTGTCTTTTTTATGGCTGAGTAGTATTCCATTGTATATATGGAATGGAATATACCACATCTTCTTTATCCATTCATCATTCAATAGGCACTTGGGTTGCTTCCACATCTTGGCTATTGTGAATAATGCTGCAATGAACATAGTGGTGCATAAGTCTCTTTGTATTGTTGATTTCAAGTTCTTCGGATAAATACCCAGTGGTGGGATAGCTGGGTCATATGGTATTTCTATCTTTAATTTTTTGAGAAATCACCATACTGTTTTCCATAGTGGCTGCACCAGTTTGCATTCCCACCACCAGTATATGAGGGTTCACTTCTCTCCACATCCTCTCCAACATTTGTTGTTTTTTGTCTTGGTGATTATAGCCATTCTAACGGGCGTGAGGTGATATCTCATTGTAGTTTTGATTTGTATTTCCCTAATGATTAGTGATGTTGAGCATCTTTTCATGTGCCTATTGGCCATCTGTATATCTTCTTTGGAAAAATGTCTGTTCAGATCCTCTGCCCATTTTTTGATTGGGTTGTTAGTTTTTTTGTTGTTGAGTTGTATGAGTTCTTTATATATTTTGGATATTAACCCTGACCTCAAGGGTTTTGAATAAGGGCTTGTGGACCTGTCCTTCATCTTGAGAACCATTCAGTTTTGCTCTTCTCTAGTTCCAAGCTTGAGAGAGTAGATTTGTGTTCATCTGTGTGATTCCTTGGGATCAGGTGTAACAGCTGGAAGGAACCACAGGGAGATCTCCTTCGAATTGTTACCAGATGCATCTCCCATTGGTCCTTGGTTGGCGCTTTGGTTTACCGTTCCTTCAACACATGAGAGGCAGCCTCTCTCATAACACTGGCTTTCAAGGAATCCCTGTGTCAGCTGCTTCCATCAGCTACACTCTCCAATGCTTACTTTCACTGCAGGTCCCCCAAAGAGTACCAGGATGTCCGATCCTGAGCCACACAGTCTTCTGAGTACTTTGCCTAAGACATATGAGCCACTCTTTGGAGGAGGGAGTAGAAACCAACATTTATCAAGCGCCTGTCTTTGCCAGACACAGTGCTGCTGCTGCTGGGTGCTTCATATGCACTAGTCATGTTCTTCTCACAAACTATTGCTCATTTTGCCGAGGACGAAATTGAAAGACTGAATTACCCACCCAAAGTTACACAGCCAGCTTGTAAGAAGAGGAGCCAGGATTTGAATTCCATTCTTCCTAACACCAAAATCTGTACTCTTTCTCCCAAACACATAGAGGCCATCTATAGGCAGAGAGTGATATCCTTGGCCACATTCGTTCTTCGTTGACATCCATGTCTGTTTCCAGGAATCTCCTCTAGGCCTGGCACTGCCCCCTACATTGCTGGCCACAACCTACTAAAGGCTCATGCTGAGGCCTGGCATCTGTACAACGACGTGTACCGCCCCAGTCAAGGGGGCGTGATTTCCATCACCATCAACAGTGACTGGGCTGAGCCCAGAGACCCCTCCAACCAGGAGGATGTGGAGGCAGCCAGGAGATACGTTCAGGTCTGTTTCCCCGCTGGGCGTTGTTTTTACTCTTGCCAGTTTTTCCCTCTTATCACGATCTAATGGAAACAGAATTGGATTACAAAACAAAGATTTAGAATCTAGGCCTTGCTTTACTATTTTCTGATTTTGTGAACTTGGGAAAATCATCTGACCTTTTCGCACCTTAGTTTTCTCATCTTTGAAATGGAGAGACCTAGCCACTTCATAGGTTTGCTGTGATGAAAGTTCTTCAGGGTTGAGTTTTCTTTTAAGTCTTAATTATAACTGCAGTCCTTACTGGATGCAACATTGGCTTGAAGCTAACTAGTATAAAGAAATTCCATCTTCAATCTCTGGTTTGACTACAGTAGCTAATAGAGCTGGGCTGCAATGTCACACTTCACCTCTAGTGTCACCATGTAATTTTACTTGCTCCACCTAAGAATTTCTTAAGATGGGGGCTTTAGATTCTGTGAAACTCATTAGTGCCCCTAATTTCCCAATTCCATGAGTTTAACATAAGGACATGCATCTTTCGATCATGGAATTTTGCTTCTAGGAAGTAGAGACAGTAGTGAGCAGGTGCCAACAACATGGGCCACCCTTATTTCAGTCTGGGCCCCTGACAAGAGGAGAGAGAGAGAGAATAATGGCCCTCGTCATGGCACAGCTTTCCCCTGGCTCCTGCTGGTGGCTCTTAAGAGGTTAGAAGGAAACCTCTCCCATGTTTCAGCATCAGAAAACAGAGGCAAGGGTCTCTCTCTCCGGATTGGTCCCCTCTTTTGGCTCTGTGGAGGAGCCTGCAGACTGTGGCATTCGGAGGGGACACCAAGGGCTTTGGTTTGCCAAACTCTTCACAAGAGAACTTGACAAAGGTGGTCAAATTAATAAATGCAAATAAGAGCTTAATTTCCCCATTTGCTAGCCAGCTGGGGAAAAAGTCGTGGAGTGAAATTCCTGCATCACTCATTTCAGACTCACAAAACTGGTGCATTAGAGCAATAATTTGTTTTCTGAAACCAAAACGAACCTCAGGAAATGTGAGGCTGCAGTCTCCTTAGAGGGAGCCACTTGCTGGTGAACTGTGATACTGCATCCCAGGACCAAGATACGCACACCCCTAGTAAAACCAGCTTCCACGGAAAGAAAGTACTTGTTACCTCAGAGTGCATTGCAGCCTCTTTTACCAGAGTGTGTGTGTTCCGAGCCTCAGCTCTGGCTGAGGATGGAAGGCTGCCTTCACCCTACATTTCAGCCATTACTCAGCAGGTGAGGGGAGGATGTGGAGAGACAGAAGCCTCTCAGGACCCACAGTGTCATAGCATTTGGGTGCCATGTAGCTTCCTAAGGGTAAGGATGGCTAGACCTCCTTGTAGAAAATAGATTGAAAAGTTTCCCACTTTAGGGCTGTGAATCCAAAGCCCATGTAGAATCATCCTTTGCCTGGGCAGCCAGGAAAGCCTTGCAACTCAGCCCTCCCTAGAAAGTTCTGGTGGATCCTTAGGCATGATGATGGGAAAGGACCTGGTCTATGGTAAGAGAGAGAATCCGGAGCCTGGAGGCTTGTCGTCTCTCCCCCTCTTCTGCAAGGCCCTTCTAAGGGCAGCCAGGCAGCATTTATCAAGTCCAGGGCCAGTGCTCAATTCGTTCATGTCCCCTCAAGCCGTAGTGGTTGGGAACACAGCAAAGTGAAAAGACCTGTGGGCATTTAAGCTGCAACATGCAAACAGTGGCAGAGGAGATGCAAGTTTAAGATTGGGGGTTAGAAGAAAGAGTGTTCTGAGGTCAGTGACTTCTGAGCAGGGAAGCTACTGTCTCCTGCTGTGCCCACCTGTTAATGCTGAGGCCAACTGTCCCCTCCAACCCCACCTGCAGTTTATGGGAGGCTGGTTTGCACATCCTGTTTTCAAGAATGGCGATTACAACGAGGTGATGAAGACACGGATCCGTGACCGGAGCTTGGCTGAAGGCCTCAACACGTCTCGGTAGGTCCTGGTGCCCCCACGCTCAGCCAGGAGAGCTTCAGGAGGAAGTCTGGTCTGTGGTGCCGAGCTGAGGCCCCTGGGTGGACAGCACAGTGATGAGACCGTGGCTGCTGGGGTCAGAGAGGCGTGTCAGGGGCAAGTTACTATATCCCTGAGCTTCCTTTCTTGCTGGGAAGATTAAACATGATCGTGTATGTGAAGGTCTTAGCCCAGGACCTGGTACTGCTATCTCCTTGACAAAAGACAGTTGCTATTATTATTATTCTTAAGAACAGCCAGGAAATCTGTCCCCAGGGCACCTACTTCTTAGCAACCCACTACCTCACTCCAAGGACAAATTCCCCAGTTTATCCTATCCTATTTCATCCCCATGGAAGTGAATGTGGATAGTTATGAGTGACCGTCATCTGCGTGCTTTTTGTCGTTTGGCCAGTAGGTGATGATGGTCTGCACCAAAGCTGTCCTACTTCCTGGCCCACCCCTCTTCCTGTTAAGGAAGTAGTAGCGACATCAACAGCTAACATTTATCCATTTTCTATGGGTACTTGTATTCCTATTTAAAGATGAGTGAACTGAGGCACAAAGATTAGAGCAGGATCACTCAGTTGTTAAGTGATGGAGCTAAGATTTGAAACCAGGCTGTCTGACTCCAGAGCCCACATCCAGCTGGGATTAGAGGTGCGGTGTGTGGACAGGGACAGAGTGACATATCCACAAGATCCAAGGTAGCTCGTGTGACCATAAGCAGGGGAGAGTAAGAGGAATCCAATAGGCATGAATTCCTAACATAGCCTTTGAGTCTTTCCCTCATATAGCCCAGCTGTGAGGATTAAATAATTTAGTGCACAGCCTTATAGTGCATGTCCTGGCCTGGTTAGGGCAAGTCCTGCTGAGCCTAAAGGTCTAATCTGTCAACTCTGGTCTCCAACAAGCAAGTAAGCACTCCAGTCCATCGACACAACTTTGCTGAGTGCCCACTGTGTGCCCAGGTTAGGGCCAGGCCTGGTGGGGTCCACATAAGGAGAGGACTCCAAGTATGGCTCCTCAAGTTGCTGACACACCAGCTGTGAAGACAGTAACCCACATCACTCCCAGGAATTCTATTCCCTAGTTTCTTCTTGCAAAGAATGCTCAGAAGATGAGATCAGGGCAGGCTGGGCAGACACAGGAGACTTCCTGGACAAGGCAGGACATCGGTTGAGCTGGGCCTTGATAATGAATAGCGTTTGGCTGAACAGAGGGCATCCACCCAAGGGAAGGACATGAGCACCAGCCTAGAGATAGGAATGAGTGGGACACGTGCAGCTGAGAGTAGGGGACTGGCCTGGTGGCAGTGGGGGGCCAAGGCCACATGGCGGAGGGCCTGGAGAGGAGTGAGGGGTGGGAGGGGCTGAGCTTTAGCTTTCTCCCAGCAAAACCCCAGGGAGGGCAGGTTTTGATCCTCCAGGATAATGGTAGCAGAAAGGTCAAGGTGAAGTATGAGACGCCTAAGCAGGGCAATCTCGAGGCAACCCTGAACTGGCCGCACCAGGGTGCCCTGTCAAGATGTGTGTGTAGTTAGGATTTGGCTGAGAGGAACCTGCAAGTGCTACCCACAAGTGCACGTTAATCAAATTGTATAGAAAAGTCTCACTTTGGGTACATGGAAATACTCCACCACATGTTAAAAGAAAAGTGCAGCGAAATCATGGGAGCAGAAAAGTCCAGATCTCAAAAGTTCAATAAATTCAACCTATAAAAATATTTCCCTTACTAATAAGGATAGACTTTGGAGAAAAGAGGCACACTTAAACCACAACAAAAACAGTAATTTTTTATAAGGGGCAGATTAGGGAAATACAAATTGTAAAAGGTATTATAACCTTATGGACATAAAGGATTAGCCTCAAGGTACGTATCTCAGACATGTTGTTGGTCTCAAAATCTAGCATAGATGGTAAATATCAGAAGTTATTTTTTGAAGGAAATAAAAAGTAGTGTGTGTATCCATGTGTGTGAAAGGAGGCTTATGAAAGAGTCACTTGTCGTTTCATTTTGCCAACAGTTAGAGAAAGGGTCCTGTAGCAACAGAGGGAAGTGAGGTCTCAGGGCTGGTAGGAGGGCCTCTCCTTGCTCCTGGCCAGCTGCCCCCAGTCACCACGGGGCCTGTAGTTGAGAGCGTTCCCCCAACCCTGCCCCAGGACATCCTCTTCCCAACGCAGGGCTCTTCCTGAAGCCCTTCACCCTTAATGGTTCCTTCCATCCAGGCTCCCGGAGTTCACGGAGGCTGAGAAGAGGAGGATCAACGGCACCTACGACTTTTTTGGTTTCAATCACTACACCACTGTCCTGGCCTACAACCTTGACTATGACTCTTCGGTCTCTTCCTTTGATGCAGACAGGTAAGTCAGCCAACAGGGCGCCTGGAACAAGCTTTGGAAAAGACAGCAAGGTGCTCCTTTGCCCAGCTCAGAAAATTGCCTCCTGATGCCCTATATCCTGCGACACCTAATCAAACCTCTGTCAGTTGGATAGTAACACAGGCTAGAATTTCCAAGATGCTTCCCATTAAGACATATTTTTCTTCCTTTGGTTTTCTTTTTTTCTCAAAGTTGTTTCACTTAGATGTATTTCAGTCAAAATAACAATAAGGGTGTTTTTTTCCTTTTGGGGGTAAAGGTCAAACTATTATTTCTGTATTACACAAATAATATATGTGCAGTGAAAACATTAGAAAGCAATAGGGGGCTGGCCCTGTGGCTTAGCGGTTAAGTGCACGCGTTCCACTGCTGGCGACCCGGGTTCAGATCCCGGGTGCGCACCGACGCACCGCTTCTCTGGCCATGCTGAGGCCGCGTCCCACATACAGCAACTAGAAGGATGTGCAGCTATGACGTACAACTATCTACTGGGGCTGTGGGGGAAAAAATAAATAATAAAAATAAAATTATAAAAAAAAAAAAAAAGAAAGCAATAGGAAATTCCTGTGTCATTTTGGAAGTGTGGGGGGGTATACAGACTTTCTCTTTACATACGTAACATTTATATTATATATAGTTTATGTAGTATATATTTATATTATATGTTATATATATTTATACTTAAATATGTATTTACTTATTACCCCAAACCAGGATTATATGTACACACACTATTTTGTTCCTTTTCTAACGCGCCTTTTTCCACATCAGTAGCTGTGAATCCGTCCAGGTGCTTTCCTTGAAAACTCATGCCAACACCCCCACTGACCCCTGCAGAGCCAGGCTGGCTGAGGGGGCTGAGGAGACTCCCTGCAGGTCCCCGTTTGAGCACCCCCTTGACTTTTGATGCCCCATTCATCCCGGGACTGTCCTGCCCAGTGACCTGTGCTCAAACTTACTAAATGCCCCAAGTTCAGTTCAGCTGAGCAAGATAAAACTAGTTACTAATAAAACTCAACAGTTATTTTTCTGAAGCATTTGGACATTAAGAAGTATCCAGATAACTGGTCCTTATTTGAAATGTATGACTCTCGAGACCTTTGAGCCTCTGTGTCTCGCCCAACTGGTGCTCCTTGGGCACAACCCACTGCCCTCTCCTTGTCCGTCACTGACAGAGAAGCAGGGTCTTGGGCACTTGAGGCGGGTCCCAGCCTCCCTGTCATCACGCAAATGGGGGCCCCAACCATTGATGCCGGTGGCCACACCTGTGCGCTGTGTGTGGCATTGACTAGATGTAGGTGACTCAGGGGAGCCCATTCCCTGAGACGCAGCACTCACATCCCATGGGAGATGGTGGCCAGGAAAGCCTAGAGCCCTTTCACATCCAGTGTGCTGTGTGGGCTGTTCAGAGGCAGCCAGTGGAGGGTTAGGTCCATGAGTAAGATCATTCCTTTATACAGGTGGGAAGCTGGAAGAACAGAGCACTTAAGTGGCCTGTCCACAGTCACACCAGCCCTGAGTGGTGCAACCAGAACTAGTGAAAAGAGGAGAATTTGAGGCAATTTGACTCTTCTGGGTTTAGTTATGATTCTCAAATCTAGGCAAAACCTAAGGCTTTTCCTAGTATAATTCCCATTCTGTGCTTTGTGCAAAGGGCCTCTTGAGATTTACAAATCGAGACCTAATCTTTGGTGTTTGAACTTGTAGGGGAGTTGCCTCCATTGCAGATCGCTCTTGGCCAGAGTCTGGCTCCTCCTGGCTGAAAATGACACCTTTTGGCTTCCGGAAGATCCTGAACTGGATAAAGGAGGAATACAACAACCCTGTGGTTTACGTAACAGAGAATGGAGTGTCCCATCGGGGAGAAGCAGAGCTTAACGACACTTTTAGGATCTTCTACCTCCACACTTACATCAACGAGGCCCTCAAAGGTACGACAGGCCACCCTTCCTCCCCGTGCAACTTCCACTCTTAGAAACACCTGCTAATGTCTGCAGTTAGGGCAGCACTGCATCCATGAGCCCCCGGAAAGAGAAAGATGAGGCTTCTCGCCCCTGTTGGGTTTAACTCCTTCTTTGGGGCTGCGCTCTGGGTTTTTTCCTTCCTACATTTAAGCTCAGCAAGCAAACCCAGTGCCTGATACAGCTAGACCCAGTTCCTGGCCTGGGTCATTTGCTCTGCTTGATCCCCCTTGCTCTCTGATGTCCCTGAACAGCAGTACCCTCCTGAGGACAGTTTGGGCAGGGGCTAGGAGGACTGGGCTGGGGGGTTGTCTGTAGGGTCTTTTGTTCCCCCAGCAAAAGTTTGAGACCCTCAGCTCAGCAGAACCACTTGGGATGGGACTACGATAAGGGAACGGTAAGTAACGCTGAGTAGAAGAGAATGAGCAATGCAGCAGCGAAAAGAAATTAGAAGATCCTATTCCAGCTAAAATCTTTTCCAAGGGCCACTTATTTTCTATAGGGAGGAGTATTAACACTCTGAAGCACTGACTAAGACCAATATCCCAAGATGTAAAGACAGAGAGGATTGGAGATAACCTGGTAGGATTCATTTAGTCTACTCACATTCCTGACTCCCATTCAGGGCTGAGCCTTTCTAGAAAAATGCTGATGGCTCTGCAGCTCCATCCAAAGATGACCAGCTAACAATTACTGATTGCAAAGGATGGGCAGCTCTCTCACAGAGCTAAAAAAACACTCACCTTGACTTGCAGGTGGGGACTGTGGGAGAACTGTGGGCAGGCTCGGCCTCAGCAGGCCTGGGAGGAAGGTGTCTTATAAGGCGAGGAAAGCTCATGCTGGGGTCTCTGTGTTTGGGCAGCTGTGCAGGATGAGGTGGACCTTCGAGGATACACAGTTTGGACTCTGATGGACAACTTCGAGTGGGCCACAGGCTTCCAAGACAAGTTTGGTCTGCATTTTGTAAACTACACTGACCCTTCTCTGCCAAGGATCCCCAGAGCGTCAGCCAAGTACTACGCCTCTATAGTTCGGTGCAATGGCTTCCCTGACCCTGCTACAGGGCCACACCCTTGTCTCCAGACTGAAGGTGAGATACGGCCCTGGGAGGGACTAAAGCTAGAGGGTGAGGGGTGAGAGGGGCCTTTTTCAATCTATTTTCTTCTACTTTATTACCCTCCTCTCTGCCTCTCCAGTCCTTCATTCATTCAACCAATATCTGTTTGTTGATTTATTTATTTAGTGAGGAGATCACCCCTGAGCTAACATCTGCCAATCCTCCTCTTTTTGCTGAGGAAGACTGGCCCTGGGCTAACATCCGTGCCCATCTTCCTCCACTTTATATGGGACGCCGCCACAGCATGGCCTGACAAGCAGTGCACTGATGCGCGCCCTGGATCTGAACTGGCGAACCCCGGGCAGCCGCAGCGGAGCATGTGCACTTAACCGCTTACACCACCGGGCTGGCCCTCAACCAATATTTATTTTCTCCGAATGCTCCAGACATTCTTAGGATAGAACAAAGCAACTTAAGGTTAATATTACCTGTAGCAACTAGGCCCTGGTCTGGGAACAGCAGGTCTAGATTTTTGTCCCAGCCCTTCCACTTACTTGAGACGTTAGGCAAGAAACTAGGCAAATGCTTCCGTGAGAAAAATACAATGACTGTGAAAATACAGTGCCGGGCACCATGTAAGGTGCCCAATATTTGTCGAATGAGTGATACACCATAAATTACTATACAGAGACAATTATCCAATTTAAATTATACTCTAATTGCTGATAGAGAGGTTTAAAAAACAAAACTACTTAACTTCAGGCCAGCCCAGTGGCGCAGCAGTTAAGTGCGCGCTCTCTGCTTGGCCGGCCCGGGGTTCACAGGTTCGGATCCTGGCCGTGCACCGACACACCGCTTGCCAAGCCATGCTGTGGCAGCGTCCCATATAAAGTAGAGGAAGATGGGCACAGATGTTAGCCCAGGGCCAATGTTCCTCAGCAGAAAGAAGACGATTGGCATGGATGTTAGCTCAGGGCCAGTCTTTCTCACAAAAAAAAAGAAAGAAAAAGAAAAAAACTACTTAACTTCATTCAGAGGCTGGTAACTCAGTGAAAGGGATGCATGCCGTCACCTTGGCAATGCGCACTGTGGGTACCCGTGTAATTTCTCTATTCCAAGGATCTAGTTTGGGCTTAACAGAGATTAACACAGATCCGATAACGACATCTGTGCTAGTGTGTAAACTGCCCTTTGTCATCCTTTCCTAGATGCTGGACCCACTGTCAGCCCCGTGAGAGAGGAGCAAGTTCAGTTCTTGGGGCTCACGCTGGGTGCGACAGAAGCCCAGACAGCTCTCTACATACTCTTTGCTCTTGTGCTTCTTGGAGCCTGTGGTGTGGCATTTCTGTCATATAAATACTGTAAGCGCTCCAAGCAGGCGAAAACACCACCAGGCCAGCAGGAACTGAGCCCGGTTTCGTCATTCTGACCCACAAGTTACCACCTGCTCCAGTTCTGCAAAATAAGCCTAGTTTCTTTGTATACCTCTGCCACCCACAAAACTCCTTAGCATCTTAGATTCTGCCCATACCAGACTTCTTCGTTAAGGCCTTCTGCACTGCTCGAGACTACTTTAATCTTGAAGGATTTCCCGTCCCTGATTAAAATGGAAAGATCTGCAAAATGCTCCAGTATCAGGAATTCTTTGGGGCATTAGAAGACCCTGCAAGTGGCTCTTGTGGAAATGTGCAGATACTGAACTCGTCTAGCAGTTCTGTGAGCCACTTAACTGGGCTGTTTTAAATTTCAGAGATTTTTAAAGGTGGAAACATGATTAAAAATCATAGCAATTCTCTTTATTAAGAAATCAACTCCATAGTGTAGATAGACTGCAGTGTTATCTCTGCCCTCTCTTCATGCTTCCTCACAGCCTCATACCTTGTGTTTCTCAGAAAATAAAAATGGTGTCGTGAACCGTGGCCTGTCTCCTGTGGGTGCTTTTCCTTGAGAAGGTAGTTTCCAGAGGAGTTTTGAAGTCACACAAACCATTTGGGGTGTCTAAGCTTTCCCACCAGACCAAGGCTTTCTGCTTACATTAAATATTCCCTGTGGCAGAGAGAGACACCATAACATACAGAAAGAGATGACCTTTGAACGATCCTTTATTCCACCTTTTATGTCCTTCCTGTCTCTCCTCTGTCTACGACATCTAAGGACCCAAGTATGACCTTCAAGACCTATGTGATCTGACCTTATATTGTTTCCTTTCTTCCTCTCTCAATTTGTGGTAGCTGTGAACTGCATGTAGGTCCTCGACTATTATCCCATATTCCTTTGTCTCTGCAAATACTATTCCTTCTACCTAGGATGCCCTTCTAAAAATAATGCCTGCAAGTCTCAGCTCAAATAATGTACTTTCCCTTCTGGATGTCTTCCCTGAATTCCCCAGGCAGACACTCCTTCCTCTACTTTGCTTGTAAATATTCCCTATTACAGCTTGACCACATTATAGTGGAACTGCATATTTCTCTATCAGCTTCTTGAGGCCAAATGACCATGTCTTACTGTCTCTAGCAAGCACACTTTGGAGACAGGGCATAGAAAGCACACCTGCTCCTTTTGTGTGTTTACTCACAAACTATATCCAGAGTAGTGGTGGCAGCATAGAAAGATGTGGTTTTTATCAATTCCCCTCAAATGTACTAACGAGACCACCTTAGTGTGGAACACTTAAAAACGTTATTTGGTCTATATATTCTTTCTAAATATCTGGGAGAAGGTTTTTTAAAAATAAAGAGTAGTTTTCAACTGGTTTTAAGAGGGTGATCATGCTTAAAATTTCATTTCTTATAAGCATTCCTTACCTGAATTGTTGTATCTATAGAAAATTGCTATCAAAACGTTCCACTGCCATGGGCCCTGACATGGCAGTCATAAACCTGTGGTACACAGCATTTTTCTCCATCAATAAACAGGAAAAGTTTGTCAGATGGGGATGAGGGTGATTCTAAAACTGATATTAAAGACACTTCTTGGGCAGGAGGACTCAGTATTATAAGCTGTCAATTATATACCTAATTAATCTCAAAATTCAATGTAACTTTGGGGGTGGGGCATGGACAAAATAATATCAAGTTTCACATTAAACAAACCTGTAAGAAGAGCCAGTATAAATCTGAGGAGGAAAAGAATATTAAAGCATATTATGAAGCTAGTTATAAAAAGTAGTTTGGTAGCACAGATACATCATCAGAGGAAAAGAGAGCCTAGACATAGACCAACTACATGTGGGAATAAAGTATGTGACAAAGGCGGCATTCCAAATCAGGAGGGAAGACAGATTATTCCATAAATCGTGGTGAGTCAACAGATTAGCTGCTGAGGATGTTAGCCAGAGGCATGGGGAAGGGAGCCAGATCCTTTCCTAGGATACCATATTTAAAGATTTTATTTATTCAGTTTTTTCCCCCCAAAGACCCAGTAGATAGTTGTACGTCATAGGTTCACATCCTTCTAGTTGCTGTACGTGGGACTCGGCCTCGCGTTGGACGGAGAAGTGTTGCCTCGGGGCGCTCCCGGGATCCGAACCCGGGCCGCCAGCATCAGAGCGCGCGCACTTAACCGCTAAGCCACGGGGCCGGCCCTCTAGGATACCATATTTAAATTAAAAAAAAAAAAAAAATGAAACCATGAGAATACTAGGATACATGGGTTATCCTAAAATACTAGGATACAATTTTTAAAATTAATTTCTGAAGTGGGAAAAGTATTTATAAGTAAGACTTATGACCCAGAAGCCATAAAGAAAAACACTGATAAATTTGACCACATAAAGATTGTGGAAATAATTACCATCATCAAAATACTCATCAAAAGATAAACAGGGAGAAAATATTTACAACCTATGCTAGACAAAGGGCTAATTTTCTTTACATACATGGAATTCTTATAAATCCATAAGAAAAAGATGAAACACAAAATAAAAATTGGCAAAGGGGCTGGCTCGGCAGCGTAGTGGTTAAGCTCACGCGTTCTGCTTCAGCAGCCCGGGGTTCGCAGGTTCAGATCCCAAGTGTGGACCTACGCACCGCTCATCAAGTCACGATGTGGCACAGATATTAGCCCAGGGCCAATCTTCTTCAGCAAAAAGAGAAGGATTGGCAACAGATGTTAGCTCAGGGCTAATCTTCCTCACGAAAAAAAAGGTGTTCAACTTCATCCATAATCAACACAATGCATATAAGATGCATACAATTTTTCATTTGTCATGTTTGACAAAGATGAAAAAGTATACTACAGCATTGGCAAGGATATGGGGATCAACATTCCCATACACTGTTGGTGGAGGTGTAAATTCATATAGCCTTTAGAGAAAGCAAAGTGGCAGCATCTCTTATAATCCAAACTGCAAACACCCTTTGACTCAGTAAGTTATGCAAACATCCTACAGGGATATTTTCACAGCTAGAAAGATACCTTCCCAAAGACGTTCACTGGAGCAATGTTTGTAATAGGAAAACATAAAAACAAGCAAAAAAATTGTAATAACCCATGAATGCCACAAGAGAATAGATAATAAGTTGGGGTACATGTATCAAGTTAAATGCTATGCAGCCAGTAATAAGCATGAGGTAGCTATGTGTTGATAGGGAAAGATTTTCAAGACTGTATAAGTAAAAAAGTAAGATGCAGAGTAGTATATATGATCCCATTTATTTAAAAAATAAAGATTACATATTTGCTTATATATGCATAAAAATTTTCTGAGATTACAAAAGAAACTGTTAATAGAGGTTACCTGTGGGGAATAGAACCGAGGGTAAGATGCAAGGAGGGAGGCTTCATTTTCATTTTATAGCCTTCTATACTGTTTTGAATTTTTTACCACGTATACTTCTTAAAATATAAAACTGACCTATTCAAAGATTGCGAACCATTCTTTTATGTATCTTTAAGATCTTTCTGACTTTTTTCAAGGCAAATTGACTTGACGTACTCCAAGTTTCTGCAAATATATTTCTATAGTTATTAGCAGGGTCACACCCATTTGACAGGTTTTTTTTAAATCACATATTGCTATATTTTTAAAGATGACAAACTTTTACTTAAATGGGATGCTTTGCTGGAGATTTTTCTTTTTCAAACTCACTTTTTAAATTATAGAAGTAATGTGATCATTGCAGAAAATTAGGAAAACATAAGGGTGCAAAAAAGAGAACTGAAACCACACACAACCATTCTCACCACTGTTAATGTTTGGTGTGTTTTCTTTACATTATATTAATACATAGTACTATCTATATATAAAAGCTAAGATCATACTGTACCTACAGCTCTGTATCTTGCTTTTTACCCCCAACACATACCAGGTACTCAATAAATATATGTTAAGTTGAATTGCTGAATTAGTGTTGTACCATTTCTCATCAAAAGTTAATTATTTCTGCAGAAGGCATTTAGTTGGTTTCTAGTTCTTAAGTAAAATAAATAACACTTAACGAATATGTTTGTACCTAAACTTTGTCTGCACTTATGATCATTCCTTAGAAAAAATTATCAGATCAAACAGTATGAAATATTTAAGATTCTGATAGTTTTTCAGAAAGATCACACCAGTTTTCACTCCTACCAACAGCAAAGCCTGTCTGTTTCCTTGCCAACACTATTACCATTTTTAAAAGTCAGTGTTATTTCATAGGTGAAAAACAAAGTTTGCTCTGAGAAAATTTCTTCCTCCCATTACAAAATAAAGTCAGAGACCTTCTACATATGTTCACTCAAGAGTGGTATCTTGCAACCTAAAAACAGAAGGTTGAAAGAGGAACTTGTCAAGCTTACTCTCTTCTTCAAACATTAGTGGTCTCCACTACCAAAAATATATGGATAAAGTAGCATGTAAGTCAGATTACTAATCTCTTTATAATTCTTAAGAATAACCAAATGAGTAAAAGGCATTATCTTTATTCCATACTTCTTGTCCTACACTACAGGTACTTTGGGTCTTTGAAGTGTGATTATCAACAGCAAATCTTCAGTATAAAGTTGAGAGAGAACTAGTTGTAGACTAGCAGTTATTTTGCATCTGCTGAGAACACAGACCAAACATGCAAAAGAAGTGATGACTCACTGACTTAGGACAGACAGTAACACAGCATCAATGTGTGTAAGAAAATTCCTTCTTTCAGTGATAGTTAAGGTAAGGTGGTCAGCTACTTTCCTGAGACAGCTCCAGGGCAGTACTGGAGGAAAACATCAGAGACACACAGCCTAAGCAGAGCCCTGTGCAACAAAAAGATGCTAGGATAACACAACTCAAAGCAAAAATAAGCTCATTCCGATTTTTGGAAAAGATTTTTTATTCAGTGTTTAAGATTAAAAACTACAAGATTTTGCTTGCAGCTGATGAGCAAAAAGAGAAAAGTTAAACATAAATTGTCATCTGATTAGCTAGTTAAAATGCTCTGACTCAGAGTCCAATTACTCAGTGACATACCAGTTACTCTGTGTAGGCTTAAGAGTTCTGGAGCAAAATCTCTCTGAACAGAATCTATCATCTGAGAGCAAAGGGCTAAGGGGTACATGAAATACTGAGTAAGAAAGCTGATAAAGGGAGACTGTGGCAGACCTTTTGATTCTTTTAGGCTTCTACAGTTGGTTACCATATGCAAAGACCTAGCAGCCAGTAAATTTATCTCTTGACTTGTCTGAGTTAAACAACTTTCACCCACTAAGCAGGAATAAAGAGACACTTTATAGATCAGTTAGAAAACATAAAGCAGTCCCACTTCTCCAGTAGAATTTTAGTTGAATTAAATCATAAGAGAAACAATGATTATTGCACAGTGTACTTGTCACACTACATCTGTTGAGTAGAATTTCCATTCCAAGTGTTGTTTTCATCTTCACC